ATGTATTTATGTATGTACATTAGGTTAGCATTTTATAAGCACTTCAATCACCTTCTGTGGTTGATTGTTCAATAAATCACTGGTACTTTGTTAACTACTTTTGTTAACCTGGACTATATGTTTAACAGATCTCTAACCCTGTCCATGGAGGACTTAAGATAATGTATATATGCTGGTTAGCATTGAAAATGTGTAGCCACGTCTGTGGTAGAGATAATAATAATGTCTATCTACATCATCTGAAAGTGATTTTAAGCCTTGTGAATTTACACCAAAATTTCATATCGTCTGCAATATTGTAAATTTTTGCATGATGATGAATGAGGACGATTGCCAGTGATTGTTGGCTGATGATGAATGAGGACGACTACCAGTGATTGTTGGCTGATGATGAATGAGGACGATTGCCAGTGATTGTTGGCTGATGATGAATGTGGACGATTGCCAGTGATTGTTGGCTGATGATGAATGTGGACGATTGCCAGTGATTGTTGACTGATGATGAATGTGGACGACTGCCAGTGATTGTTGGCTGATGATGAATGTGGACGACTGCCAGTGATTGTTGGCTGATGATGAATGTGGACGACTGCCAGTGATTGTTGGCTGATGATGAATGTGGTCGACTGCCAGTGATTGTTGGCTGATGATGAATGTGGACGATTGCCAGTGATTGTTGGCTGATGATGAATGGAGCAGAATCTGAAAGCCTCTCATTTGGTGGCAGTGTTCCACAGGGCAGCGTGCTTGTCCCTCTGCTGTAGAATGTCTTCATCAATTATCTTCTTCATCCCACGCCTGAAGCTCAAGCCAATGCTGATGACTGCACTCTGACCTTCACATACAGAAAGGAAGAAATGCCAACTGCTGCACACGACTCATCAATCACCAACTCTGAGCGCTTTCTACCTGAGGAAGGGGATGCAGGTCACATTTGCGGTTGATAAAACACAATCCATGATGATAACTAGATTGCATAATGCAACTCGGGGAACCTTGTAAATGGGTGGCAAAAGCCAAGTGTTCTCAGAGGAAATTGACATTTTGGGAATGATGTTTGACTCTAGAATGGCAATGAAGAGCCAGGTGCCTAACTTAGCCCATAAGGCAGCCAGGAAACTTACAGCTCTACGGCGCATCTCACACCTTCTTGACAGCAAGGGCTGCAAAACGTATACATGAAGCACAAGTTTGTTCCCATCCAGAGTATGCAGCCTTCTCCTGGATCGCCTCCCCTCTATTATTCATCATACATTTGGACAAAGTGAAGAGCCGTGCAAGATGGCTCATCTCTAGTCTTGACCAAGTCTGGTGGGAGCGTTCTGAACATCAGAGTCTGCAACACCGTCTGAACGTTGGTGGACTTACTGCTGTGAACAGGGCCAACATTCTTAAAGTTCTGAACCTGGCCCAATTCCGTGGACAACCAGTAGTTGCCACCCGTAGCACTAGGCTCTCAACCTTCAACAGTCCCATGCTGGAAGTTCCATTCTCAGGAACATCACTCCCCCCAGCGATCATTCACTCCGAGGCTGACTGGCATCTGGAACTTGTCCACTCAACAGGTTGATACACGGGAGATCAGGTCAACTGATCACATGAAGGCTCTGGCACACAGAGGAGTATGCAGCTCCAGCCAGGAGTCCATACCTAGTTAAAAACAAGACAAAGTTAGAGAAGATTCAGCGGTATGCCACCAGGCTCGTCCCGGAACTGAGAGGAATGAGCTACGAGGAAAGGCTAAAGGAGCTGAACCTCACGTCCCTGGAAAACAGAAGAGTAAGGGGAGACATGATAACCACCTAAAAAATTCTCAGGGAAAATGACAGGGTGGACAAAGGCAAACTCTTCAGCACGGGTGGGACACGAACAAGGGGACACAGGTGGAAACTTAGTACCCAGATGAGCCACAGAGTCGTTAGAAAGAATTTTTTCAGTGTCAGAGTAGTTAATAAATGGAATGCATTAGGAAGTGATGTGGTGGAGGCTGACTTCATACACAGTTTCAAGTGTAGATATGATAGAGCCCAATAGGCTCATGAATCTGTACACCAGTTGATTGACAGTTGAGAGGCGGGACCAAAGAGCCAAAGCTCAACCTCCGCAAGCACAATTAGGTGAGTACACAGTTGGGTACAGGTTCATCCTCTTACTTATATGATTGTTACTTAATCAATTAATTTTATTCCTAATAAAAGCTTATAATAGGCTTATGAAATAAATGGATCTCAGAAGCAAGTTTCCACTGAGCTGAGGAAAAATT